TGGTTCAAAACATTTGCCTGCGAATGTTACATCGATGTACAAAGCAGAATTAAAAAATCTTGAAATTTGAAAAAATTCGTCTTTGACAGTTTTCTTTAAACTGCTGTATTTTTTAAAGTTTGCGACTTAAAGCGAAACGAAATTCAGTTCACACATTTATAAACGATTTTTAATAAGACTGCTGATTTAGATTTGCGTTATTTTTAATTTGGGGAAATACTTGAACTTTTGATTTTTCGATTGACGACGCGAGCGATCGACGTACTATCATTTTCGGTATTAAAAATATTAATTCTTTATAGTCAGTCTTCAGATTAACATTAATATATATTAATAACACATTTTCAAGTGCGTTCGTAATCTTTAAGCGAAGATAGATCGATTTCGATGTTGCAGCGAAAAATTTAAAAAGTGACAAGCTTTAAGATGTGTCAAATATACATGCTCAGTCGTGTTTAGAATCGTTTCTTGTGGTTCGCGACATTCGCCTGCGAATGTTACATCGATGTACAAAGCAGAATTAAAAAATCTTGAAATTTGAAAAAATTCGTCTTTGACAGTTTTCTTTAAACTGCTGTATTTTTTAAAGTTTGCAACTTAAAGCGAAACGAAATTCAGTTCACACATGTATAAACAATTCTTATTAGGACTGCTGATTTAAATTTGCGTTATTTTCAATTTGGGGAAAAACTTGAACTTTTGATTTTTCGACTGACGACGCGAGCGATCGACGTACTATTATTTTCGGTATTAAAAAAATTGATTCCTTATAGTCAGTTGTCAGATTCACATTAATATATATGAAAAACACATTTTCAAGTGCGTTCAAAATCTTTAAGCGAAGATAGATCGATTTCGATGTTGAAGCGAAAAATTTAAAAAGGGACAAACTTTAAGATATGTCAAATATACATGCTCAGTCGTGTTTAGAATCGTTTCTTGTGGTTCAAAACATTCGCCTGCGAATGTTACATCGATGTACAAAGCAGAATTAAAAAATCTTGAAATTTGAAAAAATTCGTCTTTGACAGTTTTCTTTAAACTGCTGTATTTTTTAAAGTTTGCGACTTAAAGCGAAACGAAATTCAGTTCACACATTTATAAACGATTCTTAATAAGACTGCTGATTTAGATTTGCGTTATTTTCAATTTGGGGAAAAACTTGAACTTTTGATTTTTCGACTGACGACGCGAGCGATCGACGTACTATCATTTTCGGTATTAAAAAAATTGATTCCTTCTAGTCAGCTGTCAGATTAACATTAATATATATTAAAAACACATTTTCAAGTGCGTTCAAAATCTTTAAGCGAAGATAGATCGATTTCGATGTTGCAGCGAAAAATTTAAAAAGTGACAAGCTTTAAGATATGTCAAATATACATGCTCAGTCGTGTTTAGAATCGTTTCTTGTGGTTCGCGACATTCGCCTGCGAATGTTACATCGATGTACAAAGCAGAATTAAAAAATCTTGAAATTTGAAAAAATTCGTCTTTGACAGTTTTCTTTAAACTGCTGTATTTTTTAAAGTTTGCAACTTAAAGCGAAACGAAATTCAGTTCACACATGTATAAACAATTCTTAATAGGACTGCCGATTTAAATTTGCGTTATTTTCAATTTGGGGAAAAACTTGAACTTTTGATTTTTCGACTGACGGCGCGAGCGATCGACGTACTATCATTTTCGGTATTAAAAAAATTAATTCCTTATAGTCAGCTGTCAGATTCACATTAATATATATGAAAAACACATTTTCAAGTTCGTTTAAAGTCTTTAAGCGAAGATAGATCGATTTCGATGTTGCAGCGAAAAATTTAAAAAGTGACAAGCTTTAAGATATGTTTATAATACATGCTCAGTCGTGTTTAGAATCGTTTCTTGTGGTTCGAGACATTTGCCTGCGAATGTTACATCGATGTACAAAGCAGAATTAAAAAATCTTAAAATTTGAAAAAATTCGTCTTTGACAGTTTTCTTTAATCTGCTGTATTTTTTAAAGTTTGCGACTTAAAGCGAAACGAAATTCAGTTCACACATTTATAAACGATTCTTAATAAGACTGCTGATTTAGATTTGCGTTATTTTCAATTTGGGGAAAAACTTGAACTTTTGATTTTTCGACTGACGACGCGAGCGATCGACGTACTATCATTTTCGGTATTAAAAAAATTAATTCCTTATAGTCAGCCTTCAGATTAACATTAATATATATTAAAAACACATTTTCAAGTGCGGTCAAAATATTTAAGCGAAGATAGATCGATTTCGATGTTGAAGCGAAAAATTTAAAAAGGGACAAACTTTAAGATATGTCAAATATACATGCTCAGTCGTGTTTAGAATCGTTTCTTGTGGTTCGGGACATTCGCCTGCGAATGTTACATCGATGTACAAAGCAGAATTAAAAAATCTTAAAATTTGAAAATATTTGTCTTTGACAGTTTTCTTTAATCTGCTGTATTTTTTAAAGTTTGCGACTTAAAGCGAAACGAAATTCAGTTCACACATTTATAAACGATTCTTAATAGGACTGCTGATTTAGATTTGCGTTATTTTTAATTTGGGGAAAAACTTGAACTTTTGATTTTTCGACTGACGACGCGAGCGATCGACGTACTATCATTTTCGGTATTAAAAAAATTGATTTCTTATAGTCAGCTGTCAAATTAACATTAATATATATTAAAAACACATTTTCATGTGCGTTCAAAATCTTTAAGCGAAGATAGATCGATTTTGATGTTGAAGCGAAAAATTTGAAAAGTGACATGTTTTAAGATATGTCAAATATACATGCTCAGTCGTGTTTAGAATTGTTTTTTGTGGTTCGGGACATTCGCCTACGAATGTTACATCGATGTACAAAGCAGAATTAAAAAATCTTAAAATTTGAAAATATTTGTCTTTGACAGTTTTCTTTAATCTGCTGTATTTTTTAAAGTTTGCGACTTAAAGCGAAACGAAATTCAGTTCACACATTTATAAACGATTCTTAATAGGACTGCTGATTTAGATTTGCGTTATTTTTCATTTGGGGAAAAACTTGAACTTTTGATTTTTCGACTGACGACGCGAGCGATCGACGTACTATCATTTTCGGTATTAAAAAAATTGATTTCTTATAGTCAGCTGTAAAATTAACATTAATATATATTAAAAACACATTTTCATGTGCGTTCAAAATCTTTAAGCGAAGATAGATCGATTTTGATGTTGAAGCGAAAAATTTGAAAAGTGACATGTTTTAAGATATGTCAAATATACATGCTCAGTCGTGTTTAGAATTGTTTTTTGTGGTTCGGGACATTCGCCTACGAATGTTACATCGATGTACAAAGCAGAATTTAAAAATCTTGAAATTTGAAAAAATTCATTTGTGACAGTTTTGTTTAAACTGCTGTATTTTTTAAAGTGTGCAACTACAAGCGAAACGAAATTCACGTCACACATCTATAATAGATTCTTAATGAGACTGCTGATTTGGATTTGCGTTATTTTTAATTTGGGAAAAAACTTGAACTATTGATTTTTCGATTGACGACGCGAGCGATCGACGTACTATCATTTTTGTATTAAAAAAATTAATTCCTTATAGTCAGCTGTCAGATTGACATTAATATATATTAAAAACACATTTTCAAGTGCGTTCAAAGTCTTTAAGCGAAGATAGATCGATTTCGATGTTGAAGCGAAAAATTTAAAAAGTGACAAGCTTGAAGATATGTTTATAATACATGCTCAGTCGTGTTTAGAATCGTTTCTTGTGGTTCGGGACATTCGCAGAATTTGAAAATCTTGAAATTTGAAAAAATTCATTTCTGACAGTTTTGTTTAAACTGCCGTATTTTCTAAAGCGTACAACTACATGCGAAACGAAAATCACTTCCCACAATTAGAAAAGATATTAAATAACACTGCGTATTTGGATTTATTTTATATTAAAGTTGGGTCACAATTTTAAATTTCGATTTTTACATTGACGATGTTTGCGATCGAAATGCTGTCGTTTTCCGTATTGAAAAATTAATTTTCTAAACTCAGGTGCCACATTTACATTAAAATATTAAAGACACGAAATTTCCAAGTGCGAATAAAAATCTTTAAGTGAAATAGATCAATGTCGATTTCGAAACAAAAAATTTAAAATGTGTCAAATTTTAAGATATTTAACATTCACATGCTCAGTATTGTTTAGAATTGATTCTTATTGTTTAGAACATCCTCAATCGAAAAATATATTTATGGAAAAAGCAGAATTCGAAAATCTTGAAATTTGAAGAGAATCAACTTTGACAGTTTTCTTTAAACTACTGTATTTTCTAAAGCGTACAACTACAAGCGAAACGAAAATCACTTCCCACAATTAGAAACGATATTAAGTAATACTGCGTATTCGGATTTGCTTTATTTTAAAGTTGGGTCACAATTTTAAATTTCGATTTTTATATTGACGAGGCTTGCGATCGAAATGCTGTCGTTTTCCGTATTAAAAATTAATTCCTTAAACTCAGGTGCCAAATTTACGTAAATATATTAAAGACACGACATTTCCTAGTGCGAATAAAAATTTTAAAGCGAAATTTTGAAAAATTTAAAAAGTGTCAAACTTTAAGATATTTACAATTCACATGCTTAGTCGTGTTTGTAATCAATTCTTATTGTTTAGGATATTTCCAATCGAAAAATATTTACTTTTACAGACTGGCGAGAAACGCGCGAATGATAATGGCGAACTATTTGAAGTATGCACCTGGTGGCAGCCTTTTATAGTGTGTTCAAAAATATGTTCAGCTAGTGGGAAGCGCACAATTGTCCAATCAGGACAAAGAGATTCTCAGTCTCCAATTGGTGGGAAAAATTGTCGGGACGGATTTTCGAACGTAACCAAATAAAAAATCTAACACTTTTTTCTCACGTTGGAAATGTAAAAATATTAATAATATATTAAAGTGTAAAATATAATTATTTATTTTAAAAACGCATTTTATTTAAAATATTTAAAATCTCTAAAATTTTGTTAAGTAAATAGCATTTAAAAAATGGCTGCTGCCTTGATTCTCAAGCATGCTGTTAGATTAGGAAGATCTTTTCCGAGATCATTGAATAGAAATTTGCAGGGGGGAAAATTAATCCAAGCACAATGCCGACGATTACCAGGTTTATTAATTTTTTATTTTTTACTTTTAAACGTTAAATTATTATATTAAAATTTTAAGATTGTAGATTTGTGAGGTTACTTTATGATTTTATGTACTTTATACTTCACTTTAATTAATAATTCGATAACATTTCTTGAAGATTTTAGTTAAATCGATAACGTTCTTTGAAGATTGGTTAATATTAAAGAAATATATAAATTATTTTTAATTTTATAGTTACTTGCAATCATGTAAGATATTGGTCATCTCAAGCAGAACCTCAAACTACAGAGTACCATAATATTATTAAAGATACAGAGAAATCTGTAGGTGAGTAATATATATTGAATAAAATAATTATGTTTATTTTAAGTTTATAACTAAACGAAATTTATTATGTCACAGGTGAAAGTGCCAAGCATGAATTTCAATCAGAAACACAAATGTTGCTGCAAATTGTTGCAAAATCTTTGTATTCTGATAAAGAGGTAATTAAATATAACTTTCTATGAGAAATGTACTTGAGAATGATTATAATAATGAGAACAATTATAATTGATTGATTAGGTATTTGTACGAGAGCTTGTTTCAAATGCTAGTGATGCATTAGAGAAATTACGTTATTTACGCCTAAGTGACAATGAAGCTGCAGAAACAGCTGGTGACAGAAGTTTAGAAATACATATTGGCACCGATAAACAAAATCGTATTCTCACAATCCAAGATACTGGTGTGGGTATGACTAGACAAGAATTAATATCCAATTTGGGAACTATAGCTAGATCTGGTTCTAAGGTAAATATAATCAAGAGTGTTATTTTTTTACTTGAAATAAAAATTATAATTTATTTAATAGGCATTCCTGGAAAAATTGAAAGAAGAGAAAAACTCTAGTGATACTTCTAAAATTATTGGACAGTTTGGTGTTGGATTTTATAGTGCCTTCATGGTTGCTGACAAAGTGGAAGTATTTACAAAATCTTTTGCAAAAGATGCAGAAGGTCTTTGCTGGACTTCAGACGGGTAAAAGAATAAATAAAATTCTGTACAGATTAATAATACTATATATTATAAATGCAATATGTTATTATATAGATCAGGAACATTTGAGATTTCAAGTGCAGATGGAGTACAACCAGGCACAAAAATTGTTATACATTTGAAACCAGAAAACCGAGAATTTAGTGATGAGAATATTATAAATCGTAAGTACATTAGCGATATATATATATATATATATATGTATATATGTATAAAATATTTCTATATATATGGTTTATATGCAATAAAGATAAAAAGCAATTTAATTTATTTAGGTATTATCAACAAATATAGTAATTTCGTTGGCAGTCCTATTTTTGTTAATGGAAAGAGGGCCAATATAATTCAGGTATCATCCTTAGTTTTATTTCCTGTACCATAGCCTGTAGTCTTATGTCTCATATAAAATAAATATTTTTCGTTGCAGCCATTGTGGATGTTCGATCCGAAAGATGTCACGCCATTGCAGCATGCAGAATTTTATCGATTCATAGGAAATTGTCTCGACGCGCCAAGATTTATATTGCATTATTCAACGGATGTGCCATTGAGTATTAAGGCTTTATTGTATTTCCCAGAAGAAAAACCTGGAGTTTTTGATTTAGCGAGAGACACTACCAGCGGAGTATCGCTCTACAGCCGAAAGATTCTAATTAAAAGCAAAGCGGAAAATATCTTACCGAAATGGTTACGATTCATTAAAGGTGTGGTCGATTCTGAAGATATACCATTGAATTTAAGTCGCGAACTACTGCAAAATAGTGCATTAATTGGGTAAGAATACATTTTTATATATAATTTTAAAATCTAAAAAAAATATTATTTTACAATATAAAATTACATATAATTTTTATAGGAAACTACGAAATGTATTGACCGCACGTATATTAAAGTTTTTACATGAGCGATCTACAAAGCAGTTAGAAGACTATAATGAATTTTATAAATCTTATGGCTTGTTTTTAAAAGAGGGGATTGTCACCAGTAATGATCAATCTGAAAAGGTATTAATCGGTTGTATCCTGCAAGTATTTCATAAAATATATTGATTTATCGTTTTACTGCAGGAAGACATAGGTAAACTTTTGCGATTTGAATCTTCTGCTGCTGCTTCAGGAGAATTAGTTAGTCTGTCGCAATATTGCAGTCGTTTAGTGAAAGATCAAAAGGATATATATTACCTGTCAGCACCTAGGTATGTATTAGCTATAGTATGAGTACAGTAACTCGTTCTGTCCTGTCAATCAATAATCTGCTAAATTCATATTACAGTCGAGCTTTAGCCGAACAGTCACCATATTACGAATCTTTAAAAAAACGAAATATCGAAGTACTATTTTGTTATGAACCATACGATGAATTAGTATTGATGCATCTGAGACAGTTTAAATCCAACTTTTTGACTTCTGTGGAGAAAGAGATGCGAGATGATACGGAAGCAAATAAACCAGAAAATTTAAGTATGTGATAAATATCATATTTGTAAATTATTTTTGATTTCGAGAGAAAGAAACTTTGTATATATATATATCTTTCTTTTCAACAGGTATTATAAATAAGGATGAACTGGATAATCTTGTTAATTACATGAAGAAAGTTCTAAATAAACAGGCATACGACGTTAAGATGACGAACCGTTTGGAATCACATCCTTGCGTTATAACTGTACAAGATATGGCAAGCGCAAGGCATTTTATTCGTACACAGAGCCATCAAATAAACGAAGAAATGCGGTATTCGATTCTCCAACCACGTTTTGAGATAAATCCAAATCATCCTCTCATCAAAAAGTTATGTAAACTGACTTCTACAGATACCGAATTAGCTGATCGTCTGATACGACAGGTATGTTGCATTAATAATAATTACAGAATCCTTTGAAATTCTACGTTCTAAATAATAAGAAGTTATCTCACTTTATATATATTCTTTAATATTACAGTTGTTTACTGGTGCTATGGTTGGGGCTGGTCTAATTGAGGATCCACGTATATTATTAACTCCAATGAATGAATTACTTACTTTAGCATTGCAAAAATATTAATAATTGAATTTTCTATTAAAGGGAAGGGATCCATATCGATACCTCGAAAATATAGACGGTCAAAATTGTTCTATGAATTGGAAGTATAAAATAATTTTTTCCTTTTACACACACACACACACACATATATATATATATATATATATATATATATATATATATCTTTCTACATAAAACGTTTCTTTTTTCCATATCATAGAACAACATCAAAAGTCCCAAGATATCGTAATAAAGTACCAATAAATTATTCATTTTATTATTCAATAATAAGATCGTTAGTTGTAAAATAGACAGATATAACTTATTATAGGCAAGATTGGTTTCTTTATTACAATAGGTTGATCTTGTACAAATTAATTATAGCCTTACAATAATAACCAGTCAAGTTCCTCATCTTCTTGAATCATGATGTCGATATGTATTCTATTAGCAGGGCTAGAGAGTGTTATGGCGAATTTAGAAATTGTACCCATATTCTCTATGCTTCTCTCTCATAATTTACAATTTTAAGAAAACTTCACTCTGATTATTCAAAAGAAAATGACAAGCAATTTGTAAAAAATTATTTTATAAAATATATAAATTCAATGAAATTAAATATAAAAAAACTATTAATCTCGGCTCGAATTATTGTGTTGCAATAAAAATAAAATCTCGACGGCAATCGGAGCCTATGCGGATGACATGCACAAAATTAATAAATTAAAATGAGATCTCAAGTCAAACTCATTTATTAAATTCTAAACGTTTCGACCCACTTCGGGTCTTCTTCAGTAGCTGCAAAATACAAAGAAACAAAAATAGAAGATAATCGGTACAATCAGAAAATTATAAAACTCGTATACATACAATCCGCAAATAAATTAAATATCATTCTCCTCCCTATTCAAACCGTCCGGCCGTCGGAGTGTCTCCTTAACGGTGACCATCGTCAGGAAGGAAGCGGAGCAGTGACTCCCTTACCAACACTAATCAACATGGTATAAATTAAACGTAGAACAATTCACAAGAATTAAAAATTAAGAACCGGGAAGAACACTCACCCCGACAGCAAAAACAGAGAGAAGACGATGCTACACGTGACACATCACTCTAACGACTGTGCGGTATTCTACCTCGATACAGTCGATACATATATACGCAAAAAACAAATATAAAAATAAAATATGAAAATAAAAATAAAAATAAAAACAACTAAACTAATCGGCACTCATGTCAAAAGTCTAACAAAAAAACCCGGCTATGTAAAATCACAAAGCTAGATTTTGGTAAATTTTTCTATTAACAGATCAAGATTCTCGTTTAATTTATCAGTGTCGCTATGTAAATTTAAACTATTCCTCTGACGTTTTATGTGGATCATTTCGGATATCAAACGTTTACCTAAAAAAGGCTCCTCGTCTAAGACTTTTACATCCTCCCAATTAAATTCATGGTTCAATAATCTATGTTCCGATATGACTGATAATTGTGACGCGTTTCTTTTTATGTTGTTGCGATGTTCTTTCATCCTAGTTTTCAACAATCTACCCGTCTGCCCTACGTACGACGCATCACAATCCATACAATCAATTTTATAAACTACATTATTATGGAGTTCTCTTGGTAACTTATCCTTGTGTACTTTAATGAATTTACGGAGACTGTTAATTGCTGTATATGATGGAATGACATCCAAATCACGTGTAATGTCCTCGATTCTCTTCGATACATTATTAATATACGGAATATTAAAGTACGAAACTTTTTTCTGCGTTAGAATCTTGTCATTGCATACATTTGCTCTATTGTTATGCAACTTATTATTATAGCGGAAGAACAACTTTTTTAACCGCGCTTGTAATGTATGAAATATCAAATTGAGAGGATAATTATTAGACAAAAGAACTCCAATCATAGACTCAAAGTTAACTTTATGGAATTTCGGATGAGATAGCCAAAAAACTCTATCTATGAGGCTGATAATGGTGCCTTTTTTATGACAGAGAGGATGCTGCGATTCAAAATTTAAATATCTACCTGAATACGTCGGCTTATGAAACAAATCAAACTCAATGCTCCCATTATTTATAATAATGGTGACATCTAAAAAATTCAATCGGTTGTCAACCCCCTCCTCCATGGTGAACTGCAATCTAGGATGGAAAGAATTGAAAGTGTTTAAAACTATTTTAAGCATGGAGGGTGGGGCCGCCAACGCGATATCGTCAACATATCTAAAATAAAATGGAAATGACAATGGAATCGCAGCAATCGCTCTACTCTCCAAATCTTGCAACGTGATATCCGCAATAATCGGTGAGAGGGGGGAACCCATAGGCGTGCCAAAAGTCTGTTGATAACATACATTATTAAACATAAAATAAGTCGAGTTCATAATAAAACGAATTGCCAATAAAAATTCATCTCGTGGAATAATACACTCTTTACCGTATCGATACCGTATGAAATTCGAGATTTGTTGCGGTTAGGAGAGAATTTCTGTCTGCCAGTATTTGACAAAGATAAAACCACCATAGAGTTGTTGAAAAATATGGAACAAAATATTTTTAAACTCCCTGTGGAAAAACGATCTGCAGTCAGAAGTAGAGCCTTTCCCATAATAAATAAATTCCATATTTCCATGTCAGAAAAAGCTCACACAAAAAATAGTTTTTGTAAGGCTTACAAATTGACGGGTAAATTCATCCAAGACAATCCCGATATTTTATTTATGAAGGCGGATAAGGGTAATATCACGGTTGCGATGAACAGAGATATGTACATGGACAAAATGTGTGATTTGCTGGCTGACCGGGATACTTATACTGTTGTTAAAAAAGATCCGACTAGGAACCTAATTAATCAATTACACGGAATTTTAATGAGATGGAAAACGAAGAATTACATTTCTTCAACAACATATAAATCCCTGAACTGCACGGACGGGGTTTTACCGAGAGCGTATGGTCTGCCGAAGGTGCATAAACCGAATTGCCCTTTACGTGTCATCGTGTCATCTAGGAATACACCTCTTTATTACTTGGCAAAATTTTTACATAAGATAATATATAAGGCAATTCCGAAACCTGATTCGGCTATTTCTGATAGTTTCCAATTAGTGAACAAATTAAATGGTTTATGTGTGGATAGTGATGTGAAGCTAGTTTCACTAGATGTTACATCATTGTTCACCAACGTACCATTGGATATGGCTATTGATAGTTTAATTAACAGATGGGGGTATATTGAAAAAGAGTGTATTATTCCACGAGATGAATTTTTATTGGCAATTCGTTTTATTATGAACTCGACTTATTTTATGTTTAATAATGTATGTTATCAACAGACTTTTGGCACGCCTATGGGTTCCCCCCTCTCACCGATTATTGCGGATATCACGTTGCAAGATTTGGAGAGTAGAGCGATTGCTGCGATTCCATTGTCATTTCCATTTTATTTTAGATATGTTGACGATATCGCGTTGGCGGCCCCACCCTCCATGCTTAAAATAGTTTTAAACACTTTCAATTCTTTCCATCCTAGATTGCAGTTCACCATGGAGGAGGGGGTTGACAACCGATTGAATTTTTTAGATGTCACCATTATTATAAATAATGGGAGCATTGAGTTTGATTTGTTTCATAAGCCGACGTATTCAGGTAGATATTTAAATTTTGAATCGCAGCATCCTCTCTGTCATAAAAAAGGCACCATTATCAGCCTCATAGATAGAGTTTTTTGGCTATCTCATCCGAAATTCCATAAAGTTAACTTTGAGTCTATGATTGGAGTTCTTTTGTCTAATAATTATCCTCTCAATTTGATATTTCATACATTACAAGCGCGGTTAAAAAAGTTGTTCTTCCGCTATAATAATAAGTTGCATAACAATAGAGCAAATGTATGCAATGACAAGATTCTAACGCAGAAAAAAGTTTCGTACTTTAATATTCCGTATATTAATAATGTATCGAAGAGAATCGAGGACATTACACGTGATTTGGATGTCATTCCATCATATACAGCAATTAACAGTCTCCGTAAATTCATTAAAGTACACAAGGATAAGTTACCAAGAGAACTCCATAATAATGTAGTTTATAAAATTGATTGTATGGATTGTGATGCGTCGTACGTAGGGCAGACGGGTAGATTGTTGAAAACTAGGATGAAAGAACATCGCAACAACATAAAAAGAAACGCGTCACAATTATCAGTCATATCGGAACATAGATTATTGAACCATGAATTTAATTGGGAGGATGTAAAAGTCTTAGACGAGGAGCCTTTTTTAGGTAAACGTTTGATATCCGAAATGATCCACATAAAACGTCAGAGGAATAGTTTAAATTTACATAGCGACACTGATAAATTAAACGAGAATCTTGATCTGTTAATAGAAAAATTTACCAAAATCTAGCTTTGTGATTTTACATAGCCGGGTTTTTTTGTTAGACTTTTGACATGAGTGCCGATTAGTTTAGTTGTTTTTATTTTTATTTTTATTTTCATATTTTATTTTTATATTTGTTTTTTGCGTATATATGTATCGACTGTGTCGAGGTAGAATACCGCACAGTCGTTAGAGTGATGTGTCACGTGTAGCATCGTCTTCTCTCTGTTTTTGCTGTCGGGGTGAGTGTTCTTCCCGGTTCTTAATTTTTAATTCTTGTGAATTGTTCTACGTTTAATTTATACCATGTTGATTAGTGTTGGTAAGGGAGTCACTGCTCCGCTTCCTTCCTGACGATGGTCACCGTTAGGGAGACACTCCGACGGCCGGACGGTTTGAATAGGGAGGAGAATGATATTTAATTTATTTGCGGATTGTATGTATACGAGTTTTATAATTTTCTGATTGTACCGATTATCTTCTATTTTTGTTTCTTTGTATTTTGCAGCTACTGAAGAAGACCCGAAGTGGGTCGAAACGTTTAGAATTTAATAAATGAGTTTGACTTGAGATCTCATTTTAATTTATTAATTTTGTGCATGTCATCCGCATAGGCTCCGATTGCCGTCGAGATTTTATTTTCAATGAAATTATTTCCTCTTCACTTTCTTTGTAATTCACAAATAGAAATAGGCCCGAAACAATAATTTAGCGAAAATTACATATATAAATATATATATATATATAATAAATATATATATATAATAAATAAATATATATATATATATATATATATATAATTTGAATTTCGATTTTATCGCTTTTACCCTTCTTAATTAATTGGTTGGAAGATTCTGAAAGATGGATTTCTGCGATTTTTGTAAGGTCACTAAATAATGCGTACACTATTTATAAAAAGTCCGCTGTCACATCCACATTTTCTACTTTACAGTCTTTGCCCAATGTGCTTCACCATTTTTTTTAAATAAAACTAATCTAAATGTGTGTTATATATAAACTTTATCTGTGCTTCATATTACTGTCTGAAATTTTATATCACTTGTAGAGTTTAACTAGCAAAATCAATTCTGTGCTTTTTGCATCTTTTTTTGTTTTTTTTTTGTTTTCTTTTTATATTATTCTAATATAAAATAAAAATCATCAAAAACTTACTTATAGATGTTGTAATATGTAAAAATTTCAGAAAGTAAAAGCACAGCTGATTTTAACTTATATAAGGACGAGAGACGCGATGCTTTTGCTCTTGGTCAACGTAAAAATCACCCTGTTTAGCATTATTATTAATGTGATTCGCTAATATATCCTACGAGCAGGATAGCTGGCGTTTACAGAATAGGAACATAAAATCGAATTTCTCAACAAAATTCTACGCGCATATATATATATATATATATATATATATGTATATATATATTAAACAAAAATATATATACCTCACCCAAATTAAAAGCTGCCACTATATAATATTCATTAATGAAAGATACTCTAAATGGAAGTGTCAATGAGTAAAAAACCTTAGATGTAATAGATTGCTCCTTGATCCTTCTATCTCTTTTATACAAATTAATCGAAGGAAATACAATTGTTTATATGGCATTACGAATTAATTGGCAGTTTAAAAAGTATCCCATTATATATTATTATATAGACAAGTCTCTATGACGAAGAATGATACATGAAATGCGAATGGCAGATTGGTAAGGAGCGCGAAGAGTAAATAGATGAATACTTCGCGCTGCTGAGCAGTCTTATTAAAGAGCGAATAAAGCGTGATGTAAGTAATAGCACCATGTATGCAGATTTGTATCGCTGGTATCGATGGTGACTAACGAATGAAGAGATAGAAAAGAAAAAGTTAAATAAACGGAACGTTGACTTAGCTTACGTATACGCGGACGAGGACTTGTCGTCCCCTTCCATCGCTCTCTCATCTTTTTTTTTCTCTTTTCTTCAAATTTCAATCATAAACATATAAAATATATAGACATAGCATTAGCTGCCGATATGGGCAAGACGGGATCTTTAGTTTTGACATCAGGGGAACAAGTCATAACATTATTGACTTTGATTATAATATTAATATTAATATTTTCAATATAATATTAACATATATAATATTAATATCAATATATATATATATATAATATATAATATTAATATATACAATATTAATATGTATATATTAAACATTTATATCAAATATAATATTAATATTTGTGACATGTCTTGCGCTTGTGGATAACATGTTTTACAGATTTAGTGTTTCTTATATGTGTTTGAAGTCGCATTGTGACGAAATTACTTGAATTATGTCAAGTCAGTGTAATTTGTTATATCAATATTGCAAATATTAACTTCCCCTCTGGAAAGGCTCCGTCTATCAGTTTTATATGTCTATGGTTTCAATTATAAAATGTTGGATAATTAACATTATAATTATTATGATACAAGTCATATAGTATTTGATCATCGTATAAACATTATTATCATCACAGTAAAAATATTTCATTATATCTTTTAACTATTAATCTGCGCTTTTCTTATACTTTAATAGACGCGCGCAGCAGCCACGCACATCGCTCCGCGGGGCAGGCTGTTTTTTTTCACTAGAGTCCATTTACTTACACACTAATTCGCTACTTTTATTATAATGTATATATTAAGTAGTCCGTCGGTTCTCATTTATACGTAACCAAAATAAAGTTAGCAAATAGTAAAAATACATAAATGTGCCTATGTATCTTTTGCACTCGGAATTATATAGTTGTCGGATTAACACGATAAATTTAAACGATAGATCATTAAACAATAGTCATTGGTCTGACGACATGGTCGCGATTAACTTTACATTTTTTTCGAGTAATGAAAATTTCTCACTTCTTAATCAAGATAATTTCTCACATATATGCATTCGTAGAGTTTCCCTAAACTCTGTTTTTTTCAGTAAATCTCATCTCCTTGGTAGAGTCGAAAGGAATATTACTATATTACGTGAAAATGAAATAATAAAACAAGCGATGTATAGCGCATCATCAATATGCGATACGCTTATTTATACTTCTTGATTAAACAAAAGATGAAATGTATATAACACCTTGCAACTAGATGAGAAAATATTAAGACTTGAGAGTAGAAACAAAAAAGACATACGAGCATTATATTATTTTATATTAGTTCAGATATCAATTTTTTATCAAGTCAAAAAATGTCTCTTGATCATTCTACATTCTGGCAAAATATTTAAAAATATATTACTATAACAAATATATATATATATATGACGTGTATCTGATAAAGTCAAAATATAAAAAATGAATAAAATAAAAATCAGATGTTCGATATGACGTAATGCACGCACTGCTACAGCGAGTGTAAGACGTATAACGACTATCCTCATGATTAGTTTGCAGGATTAAGTACGCTGATGCTTGAACTCTACCTGTATAGGAGGGAGATTTTTCAGGCGTGATATCCTTTCGCGACGATATACTGTATATGTGTCGAAATACACCGCCGTCGATTTCGCTCGCATACCGGTACCTTATTTATTCATAGAGCTGCCTGTACAGACTGTCTTATATCTTATCGGCGATATAACACTTATGTACAAAATTGCGTATTCACAGACATCCGCGTGTCTCGATCGTAGAAGCACAGAGAAACACGCTCCCGCACGCTCGAGTCTATCCTCGTTTAACTTGATTTGTCACACCGAGGTCTGCGTGATGCCGTTCCCTGACAGCCACAGGCGCCCGTTGCTCTTCTGATCCGCGATCTCGTACTCGGAATCGTCGATCTCGCACAGATTCGTGGAGAGATCGCTGTTGCTCGTCGCGCCGCCCAATAGCGAGTTTCTCTCCTCCAACGTGGTGATGACGGAACCGATCTCGTCGTCCTCGACCACCTTGTGGCATCGGTTACGGTTGCGGGTGCTTGGAAAACCATAAGGCACTACGTCGTCTTCTTCGTCGGACTCGAGAGTGCTGAGACGGCCGTTTAGCGGATTCGTCTCGTTCTCGGTGTCGGTATGGATATTGTAGTGTGGTAGATACGAATTCGGATGACGCAGATAGCTCTCGGAGCTCTTGTACTTGTACTCCCCTTCGCCGCCGCTATCCAGGGGATTGAGACGTTGCGTCTCCGCGCAGTGATACTGCTCCGAGAACTCGGTCCCGCATTCGGAATCGCCGACGTATTCAGATTCCTGATCCTCGTTCAGGGTTTCGATGTCCCTCGTTGGATCTATCGGACCGTGTACTATAACAGGTAATTGCGAATATTACAGATTATTCTGTAGGACCGCATTGTTAGAAAGTTTCGCAATTATTAAAATTAATTGTTAGCGAAATGTCAAAAATTTGTTAACGGAATATAAAAAATTTGGCATGAAAAATGTACAATTATTACATTATATTACATTTTTCGCCATGCATGAGGATTAAAGAATAATTTTGGTATTATCAACAGATAGAATAACAATTCTTAATTTTGTCGTAATGTATTAAATGTATAAATTCTGAAATTCTTCGTTAGATACATCGATGACAAAGCTATTAGATTTATTGCACCAATCTATCAATATTGCTATATGTAATGTAAAATTCAATGCTTGTGTGATAATATTACTAAAATTGGTGAACACATCAATGTTATGCAAATCATGCTGATAGAGAAGAAATAGAGTAAATGTGCATGCACTTGTATACTTACTTGTTGGCAACTGATGAGTATTAGATTCGTTACTCTCATTGCTGTGAAAACTGGACGAGTCCGGCACTTCGCTGCCGGGTACCTCCGTGATATTGGGTAAAGGATTCTGACTTCGTCTGACCCAGTCTGAACAGTCCCAGTGATACCCTAAAAGCATTGTAGACAACGACTGTACTCCGACACGCTACATGCGATGCAGCATAGTAATGTGCAGTGAAGAGGAAGGCACGGCAAACAGTAGTACTCAATTGGAAACAGATAGTGTAAGCGGAGAAGCGAGGACCTACAGATGTATATATATACCGAATGTCCGAGATATTGTGCACATTTGGCTACAGAGTTTCTGAAATTCGATTGTAGAAGCGACGATCGAATAATCAAGCTTTTTAAAAAATGTTTACCATCTTTTAATCATTTTGATTCAATCTTACGTACATAAAATCTAAATCTAATCAGATCTCTTTGATCTTTAAGAGAAGGTGCACGATTTAAAGGACATTCCGTATCATCTTGATCAATACAAGCGAGCAAGTCTCAACTTACCGCCGACGATGCGGGGATCATCCTCGATGGACGTGACAGAGACGACGGAAGATCCAACCGCATGGGGCGCCCGTCGAGAAGAGTTTAGTAGAAGTCCTCCAGTGGTCAGCTCTGGTACCACTGGGCTCGCTCGTTTCAGGTCTGTTAGTGCACACAATATGAAATACGGCAGTGTTAATAGAATAATTCGCTACACGCTCGATCAAGTCAGAGCACGCAATATAGAGAGATCGCGACAGAAAAGATGAGAGAAAAAGAGCCGAGAATAAGAAAAATTTGAGGGAGAAATTGATGAGCAATGATGAGAACGGGGAAGGCGCCTATCTAATGCTCCCACCCCTTTATTACGGTATCACATGCCACAAGCAAAATTAAAAGTAAGAAGCTATATCGAATGGAGCTGGGAGAAACTGTTTTTTCTTTTCTTTCGATGACGCTTACCATTCTTGATCTTGGCGGTGTCGGTTATGAAGGAGGCTAGCTGCATCTGCTCTTGCCAAGTGGGCTTGTGAAGACTGTCCGTGTCGCTGCCAGCTGCGTTCCCACCGACTGGGTTAGCGAGGGTTAAGGACGGAGGTGGTACAGGGGTACTGCGATTAAGATTACGTAGGTAATCCGGCGGAAAGTTCTCTAGCTCGTCGCCCGCGCTACCGTAGCTGCGCAGGGTGTCCAAGTTATTTAGAGCCACCGCCGCCGAGTTACCATACGCGACTGGTTCGTTGTTGGAGCTGGGGGTGTAGGAGGCGGGTCTGGGAGGGCATTGGGGAGGTTCTCTCTGCAAAAAGAAGAATCACACAAACACCTTAAACAGGATCGCGACGGGAGGGATTGTACCGCGTCTCGGCAAATCGACGATCGCAAACCAAAAATAAAACAGCATCGAGATCGATTACTAAACAGCGTAGAGATGAATATGAAGGCATTATAACTTAATCGTTCTAAAATATATAAAATTATTAGACAAAAGAGTCTCGCTTAAGTGTCTTTATGCCGATGAAATAATGCCTTCAGGAATGAACTTATGTTAGCTCTTAAGAGTTCATGCTTTTATACTGTGCACGTTGAGACTAAGATATAATATCTAATCATCAAAACGTAGTAGTACCTGTATGACTTCTAGATTGCTTAGCTTCGAACTGCGCTTGAACTCGTGCTCGTGCGGTCTCGCGGAGTTCAAGACGATCTGCTTCCGCGTCTCGTTGTTGATGTTGTTGGCGCGCGCTCTAGTGCGTTTCATTTTCATCCGCCGACAGGTGAAAACTGCGATGACGATCACTATATTGGCTAACAGCCCGATGCCGAGATACATGAGATGCTGCCACGTGATGTTGAAGTGACTGGATATGATGGGCGTGGAGAAAGCCGGATTGCCGCAATTCAAACCGGTCATGTTCGGCGGACAGATGCACCGATACGTGCCGATCTCGTTGATGCAGGTGCCGCCGTTCGTGCACGGCTTCGCGTCGCACTCGTTGACGTCGGTCTCGCAACGTTCGCCAGTGAAACCTTGACATTTGCAGATCGGACCGCTGTTACCTTCCTCGCACACGCCACCGTGGATGCACGGATTCGGATTGCAATATCTGCCGTATTCGCAGCGTTTACCGCTGAGATTCGGCCCGACGCACTCGCAGACGTAGTCGCCGTCATCCGGCAGGATCTTACAACGGCCGCCGTAGAGGCAGGGCGACGAGGCGCATGGATCCGTGTCGATTTCGCAGGCGATACCGGTGAATCGACTGTGACACTGGCACTCGTAACTGTCGCCGCCCATGTCTTTGCAGGTACCGCCGTTCTGACAGGGCTGCGACCCGCAGACACCTGGTGGCATCAGGATGGTCGCTGTGTCGCAGCTGAACTTGACCTGTCCCTTGAAACCCTTGAAGATCGCGACGCTGCTGGCGCCACTCATGTGCAGCGGCACGGACACCCGGGCAATCCTGACGTCGTCCATGCAGCCGATGAAACCGCGTTGCACGTCCTCGAAGCCGATGATAGACGGATGCTGACGTACCTCGGCGCCCAGATACAAATCGTCCGATTGCAAATTCAGGATGTCGTTGATCCCAGGTGCGGAGCCATGAGCAATGTGTTTACCATCGACGGTGAGTCGGGCACCGTTGCTCTCTCGTTCTAGTTGGATCTCGTGCCACTGTCCATCGCTCACGTACACGCTGCTCACCCTGACCAATCCCTCGCCGCTACCCAAATCGAATTTATATTGCACGACGCCGTTAACGATCTCTAGAATATTGTAGTCTATCTTGCCGGCCGCGTACATCAGATTGCCGGTGGGCTGCACCGTACGGATTCTCAAGGATAGACTTAAACGATCTTCGATGGTTTGCCGTATCAGCGCCTTGTCGATTCTGTAATGCGCGTAGCTCTTGCCGCTGAAGGATATCGGATTTCGCGGGATGTAGCACGATTCGTCGTGGCACTTGGAGATGTCGATGTCGCAGATCTGACCGGCGAATCCCTCGGGACATTGACATGAATATCCTTGCACGGACGAGTCCGGTACGCAGACCTTGAATAGAGGGCAAGGATCCCTGGCGCACTCGTTGACCACTACTTCGCAATGATTGCCGGCGTAGCCTTCCTTGCAAATACATTCCATTTTGTGTTTGTGTCGTGGTGATACAAAGCTCATCACGTCGGTGGACACGGGCGTGATTTGCGCGGACTCGAGAGTGATCTTGTCTTGGCACTCGCCGTAAAAGCAATAGCCTTTGTTGCACTTGGAACGAACGATCTCCTCGACGACCAATTTCGTCGACTCCTCCAGTTCTTCCACATGTTGATTCAGTGCCTCGCGTATGCTTTCCGAAGCGTAGAAGCCCAATGAACCTATGGGACTCGCTGCCTTTTTCACGGCAAATAGAAGATCGAGATCGTTGTGCACCGCCTGGCGAATCGCCCGCGATTTGATCAGATTCGCCTCATCAATCGATGGTTGCACGCTGATGATGACGATGTCCTTGAGCCGGCAATTCATCGCGTTGCGGACGGTTCTAACAAAGCCCTTGCGATGGCTCAGCATGAAGTCTTCCGGGCTGACCTCACGGAATCTCACAATCACCGAATTCTCGAGCACCTTCTCAGTCACTAGGTCGACGTTGACCTTCGCGATAGAGTACGAGTGAAATTTACCATCCGTCACGCTGACATTTATTCTATATTCGCCCACGTCGAGTCTAGGTAAGGCCATCAATGTACCGTCAATCTTGTCTATTTGGAAAAGATTCGTATTCGGGATCGGCAAAGACGGTACCAAACTAAAAAGTAGGGTGTCATATTGATCTTGATCGGTCGCATGGATTTTTCCGATGATACCGCCGGGATACTCATCCTTGTAAGAATTGACAATTACCTCGAGGGGTGTAATTACCGGCGGATATTGCGATTCCTCGATTACCTTGATCACGACCCACGCGTCCGAGTACAACGGCGGACTGCCATTATCAAATACCCGAACGTGCAGCACGTATTTATCCTTCACTCTATTATTGAACTTGGTAGCCGTTCGCAAAGTGCCGTCCTGCTCCAGTCGGAAAGCGTCGCCCTCGTTTCCAGAGCGAAAATCAAAGGTGTATGGTTCAGCATTCGGCTCGATATCCGCGTCAGTGACCACGAATTGCAGAACCGTATGGCCAAGTGGTTTATCCTCCTGCACTATAGCGGTGTAATTCGGCATGGAGAACAATGGCGGATTGTCATTCGCGTCCAAAATCTCGATGTTCACCATCACGAAGCTGGAGAGCATTGGTATGCCATTATCTCGCGCATGAACTTCCAATACGTAGCTCGCGACCTAAGAGAGACAGTGTAATGTATAACGAAATTTTTCGAAATATTTAAGGCTTAGAATATATTTGATACTAACTTCTTCTCGGTCTAATGGCCCAGCAACAGTTATTTGTCCGGTTTTTCTGTCCATGGAGAACTGTTTCTGTCTGTCACCCCGTTCTATGAAATACGATATATTGCCGTTTTCCTCGCTGTCCAAATCGTTTGCGCGTACCTGATAAACATAAAAAAATTAAAATATAATATCTTAATATTAAGATATATTGTGTTTGACTTGCGCAAAGCTACTTCTCCATTTTTAATTATTTATATCTCTATTAATAATATTTTATTTGTTATACGTATATACCTATTGTATTTTGCACCAAAAAATATTGTGATGGAAGATATGTAAAACTCACTTGTGTAACCTTGTCTCCAATTTTCGCGTCTTCCCTCACGAAAGCTCTGTATGAAACCTCGGTGAAGCTCGGCGCGTTGTCGTTGCTGTCAGTAACAGTGATGTTGACAGAGGCGTGATTACTCAACGGAGGAATACCTCCGTCGACAGCTTGAATAGTGAGGAAGTAATCGCGAGCCCGTTCGTAGTCCAACTGTTCGGCGATAGTTACAACGCCCATTTTCGTGTTTATCTGGAATTTCTTGTGTTCATTGCCGCCGACAATCGAGTAATATATATCGGCATTAATTCCCGTATCCTTGGAAGTAGCAAGTACTCGAGCCACCTCGGTACCGACCGCGTAAATTTCAGGCACTTTTGCGAAATAAATCTTAGAAGCGAACTCCGGCGGATTGTCATTGATGTCCTGCACGTTAACAATGAGCGAGGCGACACCCATCAACTGTGGGGTGCCCTGATCTAGTGCTTGAATTGTTACATTGTACATGGCCTTGGTCTCTCTGTCCAACGGTTTAGCCAGAGTGACTATCCCGCTGTCCGCCGCGATGAGAAAATGACCGTCCGCCGAGTCGATAAATTCGTATCTGATTTTCCGATTAATACCGATGTCGTCATCTGTAGCGTGCACCTTCGTCACCAGCGTACCGATTTCCACGTCCTCGGGCAAGGTGCTGCTGTACGTCTGCATAGTGAATTTCGGCGCGTTGTCATTGAGATCGGAAATGAGAATCTCCAATTGTGATGAGCACTCCCAGGTCGGCTTGTCTCGATCCTGCACGTGAGCCATCAGGGAATATTTGGCTTGGGTCTCCCGGTCGAGCTGTCCATTGGTTTTCAACACGCCTGTTTCCTTATCTAACGAGAACTTGTCATTATTGTCACCGGTTAAATAGAATCGTAGTTTAGCGTTCGGCTCATCGTCGTAATCAGTGGCTAACACGGTCAGAACATAAGTGCCGGGATGTGAACCTTCGGAAAGTATCTCTCTGTAACGATATCGTAGACAATACGGCGGGTTGTCATTGACGTCTAAAACTTGCACCGTTACTTTTGTCTCAAAGACGAACTTTCCGTCGGTACCAATAATCTCGAGCTCGTAACGATCGATGGTTTCTCTGTCCAAGGATTTCGCCACGTACACTTCACCGGTAGACCTGATTTGAAATTGCGATCTAGGATCACCGGACGTTATATAAAATTCTATCGGCGTATTGACGTCCGAATCTTTATCAACGGTGATCAGCTTCACTACAACCGTTCCCGGTAGAGCGTCCTCGTTCACCGTGGCCTCGTAACGATCGTTGACAAATGCGGGGGCGTTATCGTTATAATCCTTCAGTTTGACGTGCACCGATGTCCTCGCAAAGTGTTTTGGACTTCCATTGTCAGTGGCGACAACCTGAAAAGAAAATTTTTACGTGATATATACATATACATATATGTATACTGTATAAATGAATAAATGTATTCAGAAAATAAATACATACATATGTTCAGAATATTTATTTACCTGAAATTTATATTCCGGTTGCTTTTCCTTATCGAGTTGCACCAACGTCGATATCCAACCGGTATAGGGGTCTACTGTAAAAACATTTGCCAATTCCCCTATGTCCGATCCAAAGGAGTAACGCACTTCGCCATTACTACCGAGATCCTTGTCGTGTGCGATAACTTTTAATATAAACGTTCCTTCCTCGATATTTTCGGCCAAACTAATCGCGTACGGATTACTCTCGAATTTTGGTGCGTGATCATTCTCATCCAACACCTGAAGAGAGATCTCCGCGAGTGCCGTGAGTGGCGGGCTGGAATCGGTCTCGGCAAGGATACCGATCAAGTGATTGTCCTTCAGTTCCCTATCCAATGGTCTCGCCAAAGTGATTTGGCCGTGAGAATCAATCGCGAAGAGCGGGTTGTCCTCGTCACCCGATACTATGCGATACGTCACGGTGCTGTTGGTGACAGTTTTGAGTTTCGTAATCGGCGTGCCGACAGAAGAGTCTTCCCTTACGAAGAATTTATCTTCTTTTCGCTCAAACAGAGGAGGGATATCTTGGGGACCCATTATATAGATGCTGAGTGGTACATCGGCGTGATGTGTAGTCGTACCTTTATCTTCCGCGCGAATGAAGAGCTCGAACAATTGATTTTCTGAAAGTAATAAATGTTTATTCGCAATGTTGATAAAATTTCCAAGATGTATCCATATTCTGTCTACAGTAAAAATAAAATGCAACTTTTCTACTTACCCCACGGGATAGCGCTCTTCTGTAAATAGAGAGTTCCCGTGTCGGGATTTATGCCGAACAGAGTTTTAGCTGGTGATGTTTGCAAATCGTAGATGGAATAAACAATTTTGGCCGCTTCGTCCTCGTCCGCGTCCTGCGCTTTGACTTTTAGGAACGATGTATTTATGGACAAGTTGGCTTGAATGGTCGCTTTGTACTCTCTGAGGAGGAACACCGGTGGATTGTCGTTCTCGTCACCTACCTTGACGCGTACCATGACGAATCCGACTCTACCTCCACCGTCCATCGCCATGACTGGTATTTCGTAGCGCTTTTGCTCCTCTCGATCGAGCTTTTTGCGAGTTACGATTTCGCCGGTGAGTTTGTTTATGTCGAATATCTCCTTCATCATATCCGACATTATTGCGTACGTGATCGCGCCGTACTCGCCAAAGTCCTCGTCCTCGGCGATTACGCTAGTGACCAGTCTACCAGGTAGCTGGTTCTCCAGAACAGTCACCTCGACCACCGGATTCGGGAACTTTGGATTATGCCTGTTTGCCGGCAGGATCTCGATCTTGACACGGGTGAAGCTGGTATAGACACTATCGGTGACGGAAACATTGAGCATGCTGAGTTTCTGTTCGCCAAAGTTCTGCATGTTTATCAACGAGATGATGCCAGTCGACTGGCCAATGTTGTAGGTTTGCTGTTCATTACCGCCCACGATAGTATACGTCAGTTTCTCATCGACGTAATCCGGATCGCTGGCCGACACCACCGTCACGAATTGACCGCGCTCGGCGTGCTCCGATAGAGAACAGGTGTACGAAGGTTGCTCAAACTTTGGCGGATTGTCGTTCATGTCGATCACGCTTACCCAGACGTGTGCCGTGCTCGACAAACTTGGCATACCACGATCCATGGCGATCACCGTGAAATGATGGGACTCGTGAGTCTCGTGGTCCAAGGATCTCTTGAGAAATATCACACCCTCGTCGGGATCGATGTGGAAGAGATCCGTGCTGTTCTCCGTGTCGTTTTGAATGGCGTAACGGACTTGTTGATTTACGCCTGTGGAAAAGATAGATACGGATATAGGTGCTTTCTCTAAATTTTATCTGTGTAATAAATCTAGAATAGATAATCTGATGACTGAAAGCGAAGTTGAAATTTAATTTATAATGCTTACCCGTGTCGTTGTCCCTCGAAGTCACTCGCAGGACGGAGGTGCCGAACGGCGCAGCTTCCGACACCGAGATGTTGTAAGAGTCTTGCGTGAATTCAGGCGGACAGTCGTTTACGTCCAGGACGAGAATGCTGACGAGCACCTCGGCGTAGACGCCTGACACACTGTCGGTGGCGCGTACTGTCAGTTCGTACTGCTTCTTTTGCTCATAATCCAGCTCATCCACCACATAGATTACACCTGATTTATACGAAGAGAAAATTGTAGACCCATCAAGCACTATGCAGCGGAGTGTCTACGTATCTGTCGAAAGTTTTCTACTTTTTAAGCGGTTTTTTAACTATGAAAAGTGGAACTACAATATGTGTGTGCAAGAAATTAATCTACACTAAAAAAAATATGTACTTTTACATGGAAATTACTTATTGTTCAAAAAATTGGAAAAATTACTTAATTATAACTGTAATTTTTTTCATATTTTTTAAAGTGAAAATACATATTAATGTAAAAATATATGTAAAATTACTATTTTTATGCAAAAATCACTTGTAATTTTAAAATTAATATTTTTACTTTATTAGAATTTTATTTTATCTGTTTTATTTACAATATTATTCTATAACATTTATACATTACTATATAGCATTTCCTATGCGTAATTTCATGGTCAGTGGAATATTTGTAATCTTGAAAATATATAAGAATAAATTTCATATGAAATTACATGTAATCTGTAATCTTCCATGAGTAGCAATATTGCATGATTATGCTGGGTCGTAAAAAAACCCAGCATAATCATGTAGTTTTATAGAAAAAAATTTTTCAGTGTAAGATGGTTTTTTTATTATTGCTATTTCTATTTTGAAATTATTTAGATGCATTCAGGTGTGATAGTTCGTCATAGAAATTTATGTGACATAACATTTCTATAAAGCTGCAATGATATTTCTGTCAATTCAACGGATCCGTAGACACTGGAAGACAATGATGAATGCAAGTCACGTTTATATATAAAAAAAAGTCGAAAAAATATCGTGAATAATTTGCCATTGTTATTGAAACATGTGCCTGCACCTTCCGAGAGCTATAAGAATAGACATCGTTACCGATATCGTAATTTTGTCATCAAATCTTTTTAAATTTAAATAATCCAGAAAATAGGATATAGAGATAATGGCACTCTGCCTTACGTAAGGTGCAAGCACGTCATGCGAGCAGGTTGAAGCTATTGAAATCTCGTGAGGAAAATGAGAAAATGGGTGAGCCGCGCACGTTCACATCCAGGCGAAATATTTATGATGTGTCTAGAGCGGCCTCGGATCGTGGAACGATAGTGCGTGTAAGCAGCTATTGTGCTCCAAGCCGGTTTCGTGTGGTTCCATCGCGATTACAGTTTAACGAGACCCGCCCAGATTACGATCGTAGAAAAACGGGAAGCAAGAACAAAATTAATTTTGTGGAATGGTATGTACGACCAAAGCGGATTACAAAATAGAAGAGAGAGAGAAAAAGAGAGAGATTCATAGAAAGAGCAGAATTATATGTATTTTTTAAACTTTTTTCTTCGTGAAAGAGAATATTAATTTCCAGGTGAATACATGTGTGCAACATAAGCTTATATCATAAGCTAGCAATCGTAGCTAGCCGTCAAGCGTTCAGTGTTACTTTCACTACGGCATAGTATCATGCATCGTGATTAATATGTCTGATTAAGTGTTATGAATAATAGATTATCGCATAAAATTATTTGCGGGAGGAAGAGATTAAAAGACGCGAAAAAATAAACGTGCCTTTGGAAAATATGACAAAGTGCATCTTATGCAAAAGAGGCAATAGATCGTGTCAATGTCTGTAGTTATATATTAATTGCATCTAATTCAAAGTAAATGAGAATTCTCGTGTAATACAATAACTACATTTATTTTACATATATATTAAAAGGAAATTGACAGTTGTAGTTTCAGCGTGTTGTTATGGTAATTGCATAAGATAATTGAATAATTTGCATCGATCAAAATGTTAATTGGAAATGCAATCAAGCACTGCGGGAATCGATAAACGTATCGATATATATATATATATATATATATATATATATATATATATTCTAAACTGTTAATTAACAATTTCCGGTAAAAAAATTATAAAACTTGGATTTTATATTGTGCGTGACATTAAAAATCCAATCTTTTTAAATACGACTCAAAAAGTTGTCGAATTTCTTTCTCTAAGAATTTATACGAGAGTTTTTATCATTATACAGATAGAAAATGAATTATGAGTCTTCAAATTAAAAGTACAAGCAAAGAAATTTAAATGTGAAAGTTTCATATTGCATTCAGTTTGTTATCAAGTCAAGCCACTTTCGTGATTTAGTTATTGATTCTCAGATTTATCCAAGTTCAATTTCGTTGCTCGTGCGCATTCTCTCAATCCGTTCAACCCAACTGCAGCAATTTGCCTACGATATTACATCGTGCATGAACACAGAGCCAATATGTGTGCAACATAGCGTAGCAACACAGCACAGAGACCGATAGAACTAGAATTTTTATTTTTATACTCACAAGGACCATTGTTACTGTCAGGGGCTGCGAAAACAGGGAGATACAACAAAACTTTAATTTCTAGTTTCCAGACAAGCAGTCGTAAGAGATATATATAAGACAAATATTATATGATTTTAACGCAAATTCTAAATCTATTAGAGAAATAAATATGTATAAATACGAGCAACTACTAAAAAGTACATAATCGAAACATAATATATTCACTAGAAAAAGCCAGAAACAATAAAATCGAAAAGAATGCATAAGATCGAACGTAGCATTGACGCAAAGACTTTAATAAAATTTTGATAGTTTAAAAATATATTTTCTCAACACTTCCCTATTTTCTTCTTATTCTCCAATACCGTTATGCGATTAGAACTTAGTAACCAGCTACCATAATGCAACAAAACTGACGATATTTACTAGGTATAGCCAAACTAGCAATATATCATAAGAAATCCTTCCGTAGTTTGAACAGAGTGTAAGTCCCATAGCCAAGTTATGAAATAAAAACGGGAATGTTTAACTCGGAAATCCCGATGAAATATTAATTTCAATATAACTTTTACATATATTTTTAGTAAAGATTTTTTGATATAATAATATAACAGATGTTTACGTTGATTTTTTTCGATTAACAACATTTTTAAATAAATTTATTTTATAAAATTTTTTGTTGCTACGCGACTAACAGCAAAAATAATATCGTCAATTTTAATATACGTTTCTACCATTTTTCACTGTATCATATTATTTTTACAACGTTACGCTATGTCATACGAAATTATTTTCTAAAATTTGTCATATCCGACAACACATGCCAAAGAATTTATATCGCGCATTTTACTTACCCGTGTTGAAATCCAGAGCAAACTCCTCAAAATCATTGCCCTTAGTAATGCTGTATATGAGTTTGCGATTCAAAGGTGACTCAGCTTGAATGGATAACGCCAGAGGTGAATGTACTTCTATACTTTCGAACACGCTATCCGTGTAGAATTGCTTGTCAAATACCGGCATCGAGCGATCTATCACCTTCACGTTGACTGGCACTTCAATGGAGCACGGCGTTATTCCTGCAATCATATTTAGAAGCTCATTTGAAACGAGATCAAGTGGAAAGCGCGAGCATTATTGACTTTGTATTTCAACTTTTTGTTTATAATGAACTTACCGCCGTCGTACGCGGCGATTGTAAGCTGATACTCGCGATTGTGACCTTCGAGATTTTGCTTCAACGATATCTCACCCGTCTTTCGACACACCTTGAATAGCTCTCCGTGACCTTTCTTCAATTCGTATCTCACCTCACCGTTATCGCCGCTATCCATGTCAACTGCGTGAACCTGAAGCGCAGGGCAAGAGCAGAGTGTTTAGAATATGTAAGAATTTTAGTTGGAAACAAATTGAAGAAAGCAAAATTCAAGTCATGTATATTGAAGAAAAATTGTTCTACCTTTGTAATGACTTCGCCTTTTTGAGCATCAACGGACACGACAGCGTAGTAGGGTAGATTAACAAACATTGGACAATTATCATTGATGTCGAGTATGGTGACGTTCACTATAACGTGAGCCACCCTCGGCTTCTCCCGGTCCGGTGGGTGACTCTTCGCCTCGACGATTAATTCATAATGATCACACACCTCCCGATCGAATCGCACGCCGGTGGTTCTGATCGCGCCGGAAGTCGGCCCGATTACGAACATGTCGGTGGGATTAAGAATGCTGAAGACAATGTGCTCGTTCAACGAGCTACCAAGAACATTTACCACCACTACGGTCGTAATTTTCGTGGAATTCTCCATGATGGCACCCTCGTAGACGTTCTTCTGGAAGATCAAACCGGAATTCTCCGACTTCTCCACCATCACGTTCACCTGCGCCACGCTCGAGTACTTGCCGTCTGACACTCGCACGTGAAGGAGATAGCTTCTCTTCATACGTTCCGGATTATTAACCGTAATGATACCGCTCTGAGCATCTATATTGAATGTGTGAGCCTTATTCCCGTCAATGATGTCGTATCTGTAACGAATATCAAATACATAAAAATTAAAAGACACAGATATTAATATTGTATCGCGACAATAAAAACACTTGATAAATGAAACACAGTTAACAATGAATATGAGAAAGGAAGGAGAACCTTAATAATTAAAAACCGCTGGCAGTTTGCATACCTTAATGCGGTTCCCTCAGAGCTGTCGGGATCCACGGCGTTCACTCGAATGACGGCGACGTTCTTGTACGTCGGCATCAGAAGCGTGACGTTGTAATCGGTCTTGGAGAATCTGGGCGGACAATCGTTGACATCCGTCACGGTTATCATCACCTTGGCGGTGGTATCGGACGAGAGTTTCGGCTTGCCGAGATCCGAGACCTTCACGTGGAACGAAAACATTGGTATGGTCTCGTGATCGAGCAGCATGACCGTGCGAATGGCGCCGGTGCTGGAGTCTATGTGGAAGTATTTTCGCGGTAGATCCTCGACGATGTCGTAATTGAGCAACGCGTTCAATTCGGAATCCGCATCCTCGGCCTTGATGACCAGCGGAGCGCTGGTGTTGGTGAGGACGAGGGAACCGATACTGGCGCCTTCGCTGATCTCGCCGCTGTAGAGCGCCTGCAGGAATCGCGGCGCGTTGTCGTTCCTGTCGAGCACGTGAACGATGACGTTGCACATGGCCGACGCGCCAGCCATGTTTGTCGCCGACATCGTCAGATTGTAGAACTTGGTTTTCTCGTAGTCCAGCTGATTCTTGATGACGATCACGCCGGTGCTTGGATTCACGAAAAACGTGTCGTCGCGATTACCGCGCACAATCTCGAACTGCATGGACGACGTGCTCCTCGCCTCCACGTGCTTCACATACGTACCCAGCTGCTGATTCTCATATATCTCCGCGGACAGTTCCTTCTGGGTGAATCGCGGCGGCGCGTTGTCGGCCATCGTCACCATCACGTGAACCGGTACCGAGTTGGTTAACGCGGGAGACCCGTGATCGATCGCTTTCACGAGAAGTATGTATTCTGAGGAGATGCCGAGGTCGAGTTCGCGCGCGACGCGGATGAAACCGAGATCCGGATCGATGGAGAACGCGTTGCCGACGTTGCCGGAAGTAATCGAGTAGGTGATCCTGGCGTTCTCGCCGCGATCGCGATCGATCGCGCACATCTGAACCACTGCAGTGCCGATCGGCGACGTCTCGTACACCTTGCCTTGAATAATCTCGCTGATGAACTCGGGCTGGTGATCGTTGTGATCGTGCACGGTGACGATCACCCGGGCGTAATTGCGCTTGGCCGGGGTGCCCTGATCCTTAACCATCACCGTTAGCACGTGCTCCTCGATCGTCTCGCGATCGAGCGGTTTCTTCAGGGTAATCGAGCCCAGAACCGAGTCCACATGAAAGATCTCGAGCGAGGCCTGGGTCTGGGCCGCGTGCAGGCTGTAGAAGACCTTTTTGTCCTCGTCCTCGTCGGTCGCGTGTAGCTGCAGGATTCTCTCGCCCTCCTCGACATTCTCGGAAATGTCGACGTGATACGTGCTCTCGGTGAATTCCGGCCGGTGATCATTGATGTCGATCACAGTAACGAGTAGCTGCGTCAGCGCTGTGTGCACCCCGTCCGTTACACCGATCGTGAGATTGTAAAAGTTCTGTGTCTCCCAGTCCAGCCTCTTCGCCAGCAGCACGTTTCCGTTGTCGCGGCCGATGAAGAACTCATCGCGCTTGTCGCCGTCTAAAATGCATCGGTAGACTTTAGGACTTACCTCTTTTTTTCGATTGATATATCGCACTCTGTTCCGTCGTACTTTATGTCTAATATGTAGGTATACATATGTTCTTTATTTTTTATTTAGCATTTTAATGTTGTAGTATTAACATTAGAATTTGTATAAAAACAACGGAACCTCTTTAAAAAACCAAGGACTTTTGTTTCAACATGGTTGAATCAGTTTCAAATTATAAGAATACGTAGACTTTTGATATAGTTACAGAATTATTTTTTTTCCTTTATTTTCTCTCATAAACATACTGCGCGCTTAAAAAAATTATAAAAAAGTTTAATTTTATAAAGATAGATATATGCATTTTTATTTTTGTGTTATATTGTAGAATCTAAAAGTTTAATCACTGCACAACTATGCTTTTTCGCAGTACGAGAAGGAACACTGTCTATTATTATGAAAAAGTATTGATCTCTCACCTAAAATATCGTACCACAAAGAATCCCCATCCTTGTCGCTGGCTTGCATAAGCGCGACCAAAAAGCCCGCCTGATCGCTTTCCGTGACTTGCACGCTTTGATTATTTGTCTTGAACGCCGGAGGGTTCTCCGATTCCTTTGGTGCATCTACGACTTGAACGGAAACTCGAGTCTGATGACTACGCGGGGGTTCTCCGTGATCGGCCGCTCGTATCTATGGAATATATATAGCGTACGTGGAAGTTCCGATTCGAATCGAGTCTACATCGGTATGAATATGCTGCATTATAGAGTCGGAATCTGAGACCCAATTTGATGTAATTTGCGTAATACGATGTAAATCTTACTCCAATTTTTTCTTGTTCCAACATCCTTCTTTTATACGTTTCTTATATATGTCAGTATAGATTTACATAATTTTGCACGATTATAATAGTCAATTTTATTGTTCATTAGATATTCTCTCTATTTGTCATCATTTCATTTTCATTATAAGAATTTTCATTTATTTACGAGATGTTATAATCCATCATAACTAGCGAACAGTGTTGTGCTTAGATGATTTTAAAATTATCTGGATAAAGATGAGATATGAAAATATGTAGATCATCTATATAATTTTAGTTAGATAACAGGAAACACTGCTAATGAGTGACCAATTTTATCTTTTTATTTTTTTTATATTTATCTTAAGGTCTCTCTTTCTAATTATTAAATTTCGCAAATCGATCCTATATACTCGATATCTTGATTACGATAAAATCATGATTCCTTTCTTAAATAAGACAGTTATTTGTACACTATTTACCATCATTTCGTATTCTTGACCAGCCTCGAATCCACGCTGGGAGTACACCATGCCCGTGCTGGGATGAATTTTAAACTTGCCCTTTCCTCGACCGCCCTTGATGCTATACTGGATTCTTCCGTTTTCCCCGATATCTTGATCGTATGCAAGAACCTAACGCAAATTTCGAGAGTTATCTCGCGTGTTAGGGTAAATTCATCTACTGTGGCGTAAATCAAATGTTAGTCTAATCTATAACCGCGTGTACAGAATATACACTATAAATAAAATTAATGTTGCACGAACTCGTTTAATAATTATTTCTATCACAAGAGAGATGATTAAACAATGATTTTTCTTTAATCTTAAATAAAAAATACGCCGGCGTAATATATTATATTATATGTCTTCTAAAACAAAATATACTTGTGCTCGCAATTATAGTTCCTTGTAACGTTGCGAAACAAAGAATCTTCGAAGCGCATTCATACAATTTGCATGCGGTACATTGAAAAAAAAAATTAAGATCGTCGAAATGTATAGCAGCCGTTCTATCGCCACGTGTCATGATCAGTTTCAAGCGTGTCAACGATCGCGATCGCAGTGACATTAAAATCGAAAGGTCACTTCAATCAAAAACTCCGATTAACTTAATCGTTGTTTAAAGGGTCCAACAGGACAGGATAATTCTGTGACCAATTGTATTTCTTGACAATATCATCAGAAATATAATTGATCCCACTGAATTATTTTATTTTAATTGGCAACCCTTTAATGAATGATTAAATTAAGAATTGATCGAAAAGGACCTAAGAAGACGTGAGATAGTAGCCGTGTGAAACGAGAACTGCTACGAGTGCATCCGCCTGTTATATCTTCAGCAAGAAAGAGAGAGAGAGAGAAAGTCCGATGTATGCACATATGGAAACATATGCTTGTCTACACATTATTTTCCGCTGCGATATCTAGATCTCTTTTCCGAGCGAGCATTTTTCTCCTTCGTACATACGCCTGGTTTGTTGATGACGACTCCTTTTCTCTTCCGGACGACGTCGCGCGCGGAGACTCGAGAGATCAAAATGCGAAATATAAATTTGACTAATTACATTGTCGTCGCGAGGAAAAGAAAGACGTCCCTCGGATATCTCTCTCTCGGCGGATGGACTCGTTTTATCGCGGCACATGCATTTTCGCACATGCATTCTGCGCTGTTTGGAAATTTCAAGCGCGCCTGCGAGATATATGCAGGCGCGATCTATTGTATAGTTTCGCCCTAATTCCGTTCGACTGTTCGATCGTGCGTATAAAAATAAATGTTTTTTTCGAATTGCGTTTTTCTTCTCTGCAGATGTTACGCGATATATATAAAATTCTTCGAGCGCGCACAGATTTTTCTGCTGGAGTTTCTGTAATAATGAAACGCAAATGGCCCGTGTTAAGCCAAGGGATCGTGCGGAAAATTTCAAGGCGAAACCGATATCCTTGATTTTCCCGCATCAAGACCCTTGACGGTGCAATCATTAGTAGCGATAAGAGATAACGAAACATTCTCAGGCGACAGCTTCGCGTATATACGATAAGGCAACATTCAGGAGCACAATACACATAGACGAGAAAGGTACGCGAATTATCAAAATACAGAGGGAAGGACACGAACGGGAGGACTAGAGGTAGAAAAGTAGAAAAACAGATATATACGGAGCGAATAAAGGCGCAGCCAAATATGCTATAAAGAGCCAATATATACGGGGTCTCCCGTAAAGTTTAAGGGTCTCGATCAATATTTAAGGGTAGATTTCTGGGATCATTTGGAGGCGATTTTTCAAAAATGTCGAGGCACCAATCATTTTCGAGTTATAAGCGATTGAAAATAAGGGGTTTAAACTAAGCTTTGTGGAAATGAAATATTATATAACAAAATCACATATTCTTCGATTAATTTCAAGTGGAGTTTACTTTGAAATAATTTCAATTTAATGCTTAGTTGCAATAAGAGACAAAATGGCAAAAATTAGGAACATGCAAAAAATGATGGTCTCCCTCGACATTTTCGTCTCTAAATGATCTTGTCCTTAAACGTTGATCCGGTCTTTACGAAACGCCTTGTATATATATTCACATGTAACGCATAAAGAAAATTGTACCTTGAGTGGTCGCGCACAGAAAGCTTAATTACGAAATAAATTTGCCGTTGTGCTTTCAATTTCCCAAAGAATTATTAACTTTACTGGTTGATTCAATAATATATGCACGACTAATCAAGATGTAATTAATTAAATGCGCACATACACATGTAGCCTTTCTATCGATGAACAGTGCATGAGAAAAAAAAAGAAATATGTATATAATCAGAAAGATATGACTAAAATGCACGATCGGTATAGGTATGAAAGCGCTTGTGAACTAATAGAGCTTGCGCAGAAATTATATAATCCAGCCGCATATCCATCAAATATAATATAAAATATATAATATACGCGTGATTTTTGGTATATATTATATATAAGATATTATATGCATATATATTAGCTATGTATGGTCGCGCGCGACGAGAGAGCCAGGCGCTTATTTTACGTGCCAAGGTGTCCTTACCCTGAAGATACGATCTCCTGACAGGGTGTCGGGGCTAAATGTCTCCCAAGTCCCGTTCTCTAGTAACGTATCGCTCGAAAGGTCGAACTCCCGCGAGCGGTTCTTCGATTTCTGTCGAGAACCAGAGAGGACAGCATTTAGCCTCAGGACTCTGTTTCTATCGGCGATTCAAATTTTCCTTTTTTTTTTCCCTCTTTTCTCCCGACGCGACGCGACTACGTGTCTACGTGGCGATCGTTTATCCTCGTTACTTCTTGCTGCCCGACGTCACGTCGTTCGAGAAAAACTCAAAGTCGATTCAAGTTTCGACGCAATAAAGCCACGCGCAACTTTGCGGTGTTTTTTTTTAGCGGGGAAAAACCTGACATTTTTGCATAATTACTTTCGTATACATATATATATTTACTCTCTGGCCTTATATCGACAAATTCCATTCAATATTACGTACAAATTATAAATCTTTCACGACCTATGTACTTTAATGCGCGTAAACATGAGAGTAATGAGAGTCTTCTTTAATGTTGCTTTTTCCTTTTCAAAGGTTTTGATAGATATTGTTTGATAATGCAAAGCCTTTGTTTCTCCAAAAATTCGTTCTCCGCTTTATCTTTTTAATATAATATTGCAGCAGAAAAAATATTTCATCCGCATTTTTCTTTTATGTAATATGTTAAAAAAGTTGACAGTAAACAAATAATATTAACATTTAGGTCTTGTATATGGATAGCAAAAATATTACAAATTTTTGTATTTAAAAAAATCCAAATACAATGCTTTGCAAATGCAAATAACAGTGCTTTTCTCCTCGTTTATACGCATCCAGCGAAATAATGATTATTTCGCTGGATGCGTATAAACGAGGAGAAAAGCACCGTTTGGATTTTGCGTCTAATTGCAAGAGCGGTGCAATTTAAGTATTGATCTGTTTTAAATCAAGGTCGTTAATTTTCCCCGTCTTCAATTAAGTCTGCATCGTTTCAACGACGCGACGCCTCGTAATTTAATTTGCGTCGGCCGACCTCCAGGGCCGATGCTCGTGTTTGCAGCGGACGTGCGACGTTCATAAAGGTTCGCCTTCGTATTCACAAAGGTTACCAGAGAGGGAGAGAGAGAGAGAGAGAAATGGGATGATGCTGTACTGGGAATCTCGCACGTGCTGGGGCCTGTGGAGCAAAATCTCTACCCTTTCTACGCGACGATACTCGGTGACGGGTTACTTTGATCACATCGAGGAGGAGAAGGCTCTGATGGGAAAACGATAACGAGAAGCGAGGGAGGAGAGGTCGCAAGCGATCTGTTGGTATAATATATCAGACTGGTTTTTTTTTTTTTTTTTTTTACGGCCTGACACACAGAAAAAGAGAGACAGAGAAAGAGATAGTGCGCCTCCCTGCTTTGTGCGTCGATGAAATATTCGCGGTGTCCTTCGAGATAGCGTCAAATCGTCGTCGCGAGGTTGACGAGACGCGAATGGGGAGTTTAAACCGCTCGTGTCGCGAGGTGATTCATCATCGCGTTGCGGATTTAAAAATTGTACAGATAATAATGCGCGCGTTATGTACAACGAGAGATAGAGAAGGTGATATACTTTTTACGCAGAGAAAGCGGGGAAAGATTTGTTGGATCGTTTGGTTCTCTCACTCGGGGTCCATTCGTCGACGTGGAAATTTATTTACAAGAATACTTGGGTGAACGGTCAATTGGAGGCAAGACGCGATAATGCACGAAAGAATTCTCCGAGAAATTTGTACCTGGAAGAGCGGCTTGTCGGTCGCCGGCGACGCTGGAATCTGGACCGTGTAGAATTTTGCCTCGAATTCAGGTCCATGATCGTTGACGTCCGCAACCTCGATGACGACTCTCGTGGTCGACGATAAAGGAGGTCTACCGTCGTCCCTTACTGTCACCTGAAAGCATGAAATCACAAATCACGGTATGAAACAAAACACAATTTATCAGCAAATATATACTTGTTACTTGGAAAATGTCTCATTCAAAAATATATAATGTAATAAAGTATTATAATTAATTATAGTATGTGTATATTATTACATTTATAATACAAATGAACATAATTTAAAATAAATTAATAAATATTAAAATAAAAAATGTAAAATGATAGAATATCGTTTGATAAATAACATAAAACAAACATAATTACATTTCAATAATATGAAGATTAATACATATAAACATTTATGTATATAAATATATATTTTTCATTATAGTTATAAAATATAATTATATCGGTACATAAAAGATCTATGAACGAATTTAACGATATTCAAATATGGAAAAGCCGACACCGATAATTGAAATAAATAAATAAATAAATAAATATATTAATGTGCAAATTCTGATTATAATTCATGGTTACATTAAAATAGACATTGAGGTATCGACAAATCGAATCACAACATCAACATATCGTTGACTCGATTCATTATTGTCTCGTAATGAAAACGTACGATCGGCTTTACTACGCAAATTTCAATCTCTCATCGTTCATTAATATACAAAATCTGCTCTCATTTTCTCGTTTCCGCGTGTCGCAATAAATACTTGTACAATATATATTTGAACTACACGATTATGACAAAAAAACATTAATTGTATGCATAAATTAATATTCCCGTCCAATTATTTTGGAAACGCGTATGAATTTCGTGTTAAAATACAGCCTCGGCCACATCATCTTTATTCGCATGGCGGGATTATTAATCGGGAAATAAAAAGGAGAGCGGAAAAGAAAGGTGTGTTGGAGAAATGTTCAGGTGGGATATTTCTCCCCCTGGTAATGTGCGATATCTTTTTAAATTTTCCACCGGTACGACTTTTCGTGCGCACCCGTTTTTCCCGCTTTTACTACGGGTCGTTGTCTTATCGCGCACGTTTCTACCTTCTCTCTCCTTGTCCTGCGAAATCCAGGACTCTCATGCGCGAATATCGCACGTACAATCTGTGGAGTCGGCGATGCTGACCGGGAAAAGGAGGTGGAGAAGATTCGAGTCGTAAAACCGAGTGTCCTCGCATCCGAGATGATGTTGCAAATCCGAGATTCCCCGGCCTTCATATGTACTCGCATCGTTGCGAGAAATGCGTAAAACGAGATTAAAATAATTGTAGCAATTTAAAATTTAAATGTCACGAAGCGTGATACAAGGTCCCCTTTTACTTTTAATTAATATGATTTTAATAAATGTGCGTAAGCGCGCCGAGAGAGAAGATAGAAATCTTTCAATGGTTTAAAAAAAAAAACGGTACGGCCGTCAGGTCACGCTGTTTTGGGTCAGGCAAACAAGTTTATAAGTAACTTTCATGAATAAGTTACAGGAATGACACTGGAAGCGCTCGCCCGTTCGCGTAATTTTAGCCGTAAAATTTAATTAGTATTTCTGCCGAAAAGTCAAGAGAGCGAAACGTTTTGATGCTCCGTGCTTTCCTTTTATTTGACGTGTATCGATATAAACCTCGAACGTTTCGTCCCAGTTTCCAGACGTGCGCGCAAGTTCTCTTCGCTATTTCACAACACGATTCTATAAATACATATCTATATTTTCTGAAGCGGCCCTTTGCTGCGTCACAAAACCGGTAACGAAGTACATGTGACTCAGCGCGATGGCGAGCGCTCTATTACGAGATCTCGCAGGCGGTCCGAGGCCATTCGTCCGGCGGAAGGGCCAAACGGACTGATGGGAAAGAGAAAGACAGACGGACGGACGGGACCGGTTACGAAATTCTCCAGGCTCCCTCGTCGTGTCCCGTCCTTCTTCGGCGCAATAATCGGCCCTTTCACGAAGCAATTTCCGTCCGGCGCGGCGCACGAGCAGGAACGGAACGCTGCTATGCGGAGAGACCGCGACGTAAATCCAATGTCCCCCGGGACATCTTTCGCGGGAGGGAGAGAGAAGGAGAGAGCCGCGCGTCAGATCCTCCTGGCGTAACACCTGCACTAAATTAGGAGTACGAAACTCCGTTTTATACACCGGACGTCGGGCACCCGGGCACTCTCATTTGCGGTGCAACGACAATAATGCGACGGAGCTCGTCGTCTCTTTCTCCCTGTGCGCGAGATTCTGTACTCTTTCACGGATTTCTCTCGTATTCTCACGTATTTGCGGTGCGGGATTATCCGTCTGTCCGTCGCAGCGTGATCCAAGCTTGTTAAATAGAATATATGCATCATGCATATTAAAAGTTTTATCTTATATTTTTGATGTGCTTAAGAATATCATCCTTTCTTTCTGGATTTCATTATTTCACCGAAAAAAATTCTTTTTTTAAATATATATATATATATATAAAATAAATATCCCTTTAGGGAATTTTTCCTCTTAAATTAAGAAGATTCTTTTGGCGCCTATTTTAGTAGAAAATATGAAGATGAGTGACACATACTTAAAATGAGAATACAATTTTGTATGCGATGATTCATTGAGATTATCAATATATGTTCTTTTTCCCCTCAGAAACAAGAAATTTACGAGATTTAAATATATTTCGAAATATATTTTTTCTCTTCTGCGATATTTTTCCGTGCCGATTTTTCTAATGAAATCACGTGATTTTTAATAAATTCCAAAGATATGTATGAGCGGCAAGAATTCCGCCACGTCGCGCTGGTTCCTCCAAGACTATATAAATTTCTCCACACTCATCTTTTCGTATCTTCGCGAGGCAGGAGAATATATTAAGTGTCGCGTTTCTGGAGCACCCTATACACGATGAGCACGGGTCCTTACGGCGTGGTAGATTTAAACGCTTGGCCGATCGCGTTAAATCCGTCCGAGCGTCATCGTATCTCGCCTGGAGGCACCTCTCGCAGGTTTCCTTGCTTCGCGCTTCTCCCTCCGAGCACTCGCAATTTTATCATTTCACTCGGCAAGCAAGAGTACTTTGCGCGCTTCAGGTTGCCGGAGCGGTTTAATATCGGTTCGCGATCTACGTAAACCACACGGAAGAATTGGCGAGTCAAAACGGCACATATGCGAATTCTCAGTAAATGTTAACAAGTAAATACTACGCATTTATTTTATATATATATAACCGCGTTTACAAGATTTATAATAATTTTTTTTATACCTCAACTTGTGTGACGTGTTTATTTAAAATTAAATGAATAAGATTTAGCTAGTTTTTAAATTTATTTTTCAATTGTTTTTATGTAATAGTTTACAAATTATAAGTTTGGCAATAAATGCATATATATTTTTATTAACAATAAGAAAAAAAAAATAAAGTTGATTAAGAAATATTGAAAAGATGGATATGAAAAATTAACTCGATAATTCTAAAAAATAATGTTATAAAAAAAATGTAAGTTTCAAATAATTTAAAGAAAATGGTATTTTCAATCTTCAGCGGAATCCTGTCATTAAGTGGTAACCGGTTCTACGCGGAAGAAGAAAACGATGTAGCGCCGTTTCGTGATAATCAGTGATCGAGCCGTATTATTTCTCCGACATCGGTCGAGTAACGAGCGATGAAACCGACTTTTCGAATAATCCGGCGACGTTTTCCGGACCCGCGGAGAAGAATGCGCACCGCTCGGAAGAGAAAGCCCGCGTTTTCTTCGTGATTAGAGGTAATAGCCGTGCGTTGGCCGAGCAGTTTCTTCAGTATCTTCTTCTCTCTTCCCTCGTCACCCGGCGCCTTTGCGCCGCCGCTCTCGACTCTCCGTAATTACCTTGATGGCCTCTGATAATTTCTTCGGGCTTAACCCCCGCGTTTGCGGCTAAATCCGAGAGATTTCTACCACTGTGCTATAAGACGACTGCGCACACCGGCATTCGTGACAGCCGGCATAATAAACCCGGAATTCCGCGCGCGGTTTCGCAAAAATAGCCGCACCGTTCTCTTCCTACTAATTGTGATCGTCAGAGATATCGGTAGATTACCAATTTCGGTTTTCGTTTATATATTTATTTATATTTTTTTACGCGAGGAAGAATTGATCGGCGAGAATTTCGTGTAAAAGTTTCGAAGGACATTTCCATCGCTCGAATTTATTTCGCTCGGGACAATTTCTTTTTTCTTTTTTTTCGTCTGGCTTCAGTAAACGCTACCAATGCAGAAAATTGCCGTCGAGGCGAGTATTTGGAGATTCGTATATCGCGAGCAGAATCCGCATTGTGTCGACAGCTGAAAGAGCTGCTTTACGGAAGACGTAAATTGTCGACGGCGCCCGATAGGCATCATTACCTTACGCTTCTCTTTCGAAATTGTCTTCGCCTCGAAAGCTGCGCGCTGACTTTTACGGTTTCTTTTATGGAGAACGAATAAGTATTACGTATAGGATATATCGCCCCGGCGCATTAAAATCCTAACGGGTTGGTGTTAAGGACTGCATTATACTCCAGACAGCTCCCGCAGGCTGAAAATCAAAATATTTGGGCGCGTAAAATCGCGAAATCGGCGAGAGCTCGTCTTCTTCTCTCGTCGTTAAAGTCGAGGGCGCGATTTAATCATCATTTCGCATTCATTGTGTAAAGCAGAACCCTCGAAAGTTCCTGTTGTAAGCCGATCTAATAACGGGGCGGGAAGCGCAATGGGAAATCCGGACTTATCCCGGGGATATCGTAATATTCTCTGATCTATCTAAAGCTCGCAGTTAATAATAATTGGTCCGTGTCCGCGGAAAATTTCTACTTACACGAATAATAATAATTCTCGCCTTCGTACCTAGTCGGAACAGTACTAGCTAATTTCGTGCCATAATAAATTTGCGTTTCCAACACACGTTTTCTCCAAAGAATGCTAATTCTCTGGAAATACGGTACTTACGGAGCTTTTTTTACGTCCCCTTTCTATCTCTCTTCCACACGTCGAATTTTCCACCGCAATCACGGATATTCGCGCCAATAATACGTTTCATTTGGCAAGTCGAGTTTTGCGGTTTTCTCCGATC